AACAGGCCAAAAATAGCCTGTTCCCAAAACCCTGGTTTGTTGCCTGAGTTCTAGGGCAGGACGATCTTATGAGGGCCCGAAAGTGGCCCTCCGTTTCAGGCTGCAAATACTCAGGGCCTGAACGGCCCTGTTATAGGCTGAAAACGAAATAGGGCCTGCAGGCCCTCGTTTTCAGTTTTCAGGCTGAAACGACATGGGGCCTTTAAGCCCTTATTTCTAGGTTTTTAGGCTGAGAATGCGGAATGGGCCCTGCAGGCCCGTGTGGCTACACAGTATGCCACACCCGTCCTACACAGTAGAGATACCAGCACACCTCCATACCTACCCGGTATTTCACGCATCAAAGTTGCTGCTGTGCGTCACAAGCAATCAGTTTCCATCTAGACGGTCCATGATCCCTCCAGACATGGACGGAAGGTATGACATTGACGGCATTGTAGGTGAAGATGTATTCAGAACAGGAGGTAGAGGTCGTCCACAGAAACAGTATAAGATCCGGTTTGCGTATCAGGAGCCGGAGGATGACCGCTGGTTCACTAGAGCAGAACTGCTAGAGACAGCTCCCAATATAGTTAGAGCCTATGAAAGAGATCAGAGAGGTAAAGGTCCGGCCTTGGACTGAGTTATTCTCGGAGGACCTCAAATTTAGGCCGGCGGGAGTGAAACGGTATTCACCAATTCACAGTAGCTGATGCAGATCCCAGGGCTCGATCCCTAGTTCCCACCTTACCTGTGTACAGTATCTGTGTCTGCCCTTAGAGTTAAACCCGTGACCTGTGTATTTGTAACAGTGGTAGACTGTCATAGGGTCCTGAGGTCGCAGGGGCTCGATCTGTAGACCTGTCGAGTAGGAGTCTTAGTCAGGTCTAGAAGTCGTAGCTGTAGCTTTCCCGAAAGGTCAAGGTTGTAGCTGCTACAGTCCAGAAGGGTCAAAGTCGTAGCTGCTGCATTCACGAAAGGCCAAGTCTACGGCCTTCCGGAAGGTCCCAGTAGTGGCCTTTCGAAGTTGCCCACGTTTAGACTGAGGCAAGTGGGCAAGTGGCGGGGCAAGTGGKCAAGTGGTGGAGTCTACCCGTGCTGAGTCAGCAGTCCCAGTCCCCAGTCAGTCCTGGTCCAGTCAAGCAAGTACCGCATGGGACTGTGTGCACTTCGGGCATGGTAAAGGGCCAGACCAACGAGCTTTAGAAGTATAAATCAAGAGGCAGCGCCCAGGCATTCATTCATTCCTGCATGAGCCATGCGGAAGCGCTGCCACAGCGACTTGAGCAAGGAGGTCTGCAGTGAGCCTGAGGAAGAAGAGGGCGAGAGAGGCGGAGTTAGCCATAGTGATAGGGTAGTAGCGGCCATAGCCGCCATAGCTGTAGTTGGAGTTCAGTGTGTGTGTGTGAGAGAGTGAACAGAGTACCGCGTGTGGGATATCCAGGGTGATCCGGTGTATGCGAACAGAGAGTTGTGTGGGCGCTACGTCGCCATAGCCAGTTGAAGTGAACTCGTATCTGGGTTGCCATATCTCTGAGATTTGAGTGGGCGCATGTCGCCAGTTTGCTGCGCTACTGTTTGCATGCATGTAAAGTGTGAATGAAAGCAAGTCTGATTGCATTGGTATCAGAGCTGGAATGTTGGGGGAAGAACGGGATCTACTCGAATGTTGGGGGAAGCAAGAAACGACAACGTGTGCTGGAGGGCACAAGGGGGAAGCAAGAAACTTGCAACAACACATAGGTTGGAGGGCACGGGGGAGGCGGGAGGGCAGACAACACACAAGCACATAAGGCAGGGAAACAACAACAACCAGTGGACAAGGCAACAACACATAGGTCGGAGGGCATTGGGGAGGCGGGAGGGAAGACAACACACCAGCACATAAGGCAGGGAAACAGCAACAACCAACGAAACAAGGCAAATACCAAAACCAAGAAAACTGAAAAAAATAAAATAAAATAATAAAGACTGATGATGATAGATTGTTTCGTCGGAGTTGCACCGACTCATCAGGAGGCTGAACCCTCGACAATCTGCGGAATCCCCGTATTTGATGGTTTGGGTCATGACCCCTTTGACCCTTGTTGAAGGCAGACTGTCCCCAAGAGGAACATAGCAGCGGGCAGCAACCCTGTGAAGCACCAGGCAACACAGTAGAGGCAACACGGCTGCACAACGCCAAAAACGACTGCAAGGAACGACATGGCACACAGCGCGGCAACAGTGTAGTGAAGCACAAGGCAACACAAATAAAGCAACAGCACTGCCGAGAACGACAGAGCGAGCGGACCAGCAGGTCGGCAACCGTGGAGCGGAGCACAAGGCACCAGCAACAAGGCAACCAACCTACAGGGCACACAAGCGGCAAGCACGGAAGGCACGGCCAGCGGATGAGCAGCACGGCAGCGGAGCAGCGAAGCRCAAGGCAACACGAACAACACGGCCACACCGCACAGCGAACACATCAACCTGCAAAGAACCACACGCGAAGCAAGTGGGACAGGCAGCAGAGCAGCGGCGGAGCGCAGACGAGGACGTCCACACATCCAACACGGAGCAAAGCAGCACATGACCTACTCACATCACAATTGAACCCCGCAGACTGTTGATTCCCACCACCCACTGAGCCAGGGAGACACTCCGACGAGCATCCATCATCACCCATAGGCAACACAGACATCCCGAACCGAGCGGCCCCCTAAGAGTGCAGTTGGCACTCCAAACGAGGAACCACGGACTTTTTGGCACTACTTAAGGGTGCTCAGTTGGGCACACAGAAAAATACTTAGAAAAAATTAGACGGCGGACAAGCAGCAGGAAAAAGACTGGCAGATAGAAAACTGAATGCGTGTGTGTGTGTGTGGGTGTGAGAGAGTGAGGTGGGAGTGAATAGCTTGAGTGTTTAGGGGTGTGTGTGTGTGTGTGTGTGTGTGTGTGTGTGTGTGTGTGTGTGTGAGAGAGAGAGAGAGAGAGAGAGAGAGTGTGTATGTGTGTGTGTGTGTGTGTGTGTGTGTGTGTGTGTGTGTGTGTGTGTGTGTGTGTGTGTGTGAGAGAGAGAGAGAGAGAGAGGTTCGAATGTGGATCCATATTGGCCATATTCAGCTGATTATGCTGCTGAAGAACTCAAAGATTACCTGCAAGTTGTCAGTCTGTAAGTCTTCTTCTTCTTCTCCATCTTATCAGTCTTCTTCTTCTTCTTCTTCTCGTCAGTCTTCTTCATTTTTTGTCAGTCTTGTTCTTCTTCAGAATGAAAGGGTCAATAACAGGCATGGAGCAGACATCAGAGCAGCAGGCAACGAACATGCAGAGCCACCAACCCAGTACATATCAGATGACATACATTCAGCACACAGTAGGCAACATACATGCAGACAACCCCCCAACCCCAGCACTCCCCATCCAGACCAACCCCCCTCCCTCCCCCCCCCCCTCACAAAACCAAAATTTTATTGCAGATTCGGGGTCCTCTCGCCAAGCGCAGAACGACCCCGGTTTCAAATAAAAAATAAAAAAAATCTGGGCGTTTTTTTGGCCCAACCGGTTTACCCGGGCGCCCCCCCCGGGCCCAACCGGCCGGGTGGCGTCCTCACTCAGCTTTTTTTTTTTAAGGGCTAGCCTATTCAAAAAATGGCCTCATGAAATAGGCTAAAGTTTAGAAGAAAAATCAGAAGTCTCTTTTCTGGCTACAATATGAGAACCTCAATCATTATCCCCTGACAGTTTTCCGCCAGAGAACAAACTACCTTAGTGTGATTTAACAGCCCCACTTCAGCCTGCCTCAGCCGTCCTATCCTCGATACCTAGTCTCTACCAGGCCATTGTTGTATCTTAGACTGGAAGTCGCTCCAAATAGAGCTATAGTGACTGGGCGTTCTATGCCGGTGAAAACGGTAGCGTACTCTCTATGTTAAAACCGCGACTACCTTTCCCGCTGTTGGGAAAGGGGAAAATAATAAAATATCCTACTCCAAAAAAATCGGAGGTCGGGCCCCGACAGCTGTCATTGATAAATCTAATCGGCGTCCGTCGTTTCGTTTCGGCCTCCTAAAGATTTCGGCGGCTCGTCGGCGATCCACATGGGTAAAGGTAGTGGTGGTTTAAGGTTGGTCCTAACGTATCGTCCTAAGTTCTCAACTACTCCATGCAAGCCGATTGCGGCTGATGGACTGTGAAACTGCACAGGGTTTGATGCGGACTACGCAACCCAAGCAGATTCCGACAGATATTGACTGCAAGTCTGTTGGGAAAACACGAGCAATTCAACCTGCAGGGTTTCCTTTTCCTTACTTCGAACTTACAGCCGAAGATGACAGAGGAAGGTAGAGGAGAGGGAAAGAGAAAATCGTATAATGCAGAGGCATGCAATCTTAATGTCCTCTTTTGGAAGTGAGGTGCGCAATGAGAGTGTAAGCAGGATAGCGGCAACGAGAACAAAATGGGCCAGACTCTTCAATGGAAGTGCAAAAATCACCCAGCCCATGTGGCTAAATGGTACACAGTGCTACACACTTGTAACTGTTAATTAGCAGATGATGATGAGGCCGGTGGTTGCAGGGATGCCCTTGTAGGGTTTTGACTCTTTTGATGTTATGTTTTTTTTTTTTGTTTTTTTTTTTTTCGTTCTTTCTTTTCTTTTCTTTTCCTTTCCTTTCCTTTATTTTCTGTCCTGTTTGTGGTAGCCTATCGTAATCAGATGCTTCCATGACACCATGCGTTACTCTGGGTATGTGGTTGGTCCTATGGTTCAGGTCCTGTTCGAGGAAGGCTTCATCGTGGAAGGTCTGAACGACGTCTACAACGCGTGATCGATGGTATGGGGGCCAGCAAGGCAGTGACATTGTATATTCAAGAGAGAGAAGTGACGGAAATGCAACAAATTGGTTGGGTAATCTGGTGTTATGCGTATTATGCTCACCTTATACATTGTGTATAGGTTTTCCTATCCCTTCCTTGTACAGCAGTCGGAGCGCTTTGAATGACCAGTTGGTCCAGTGGGGTGGGGATTCTCTGTTTTTTTTTGTTTTTTTTTTGTTTTTTTTTTTGTTTTTTTTTTTGTTTTTTTTCCTATAGCGAATGAGATATGGAACTCTATCATAATTTATGTTCTTTCGCTAGGAGGTGTTTTTAAATGAACGCAGTCCGTGATAGACGGAAGCCAGCGGGTGTGGGGATGATTACGCACAGGTGAGAGGAGGGGCGACTGTGCCCTGTTCAGAGAGAATGTATGATTTGCATGGCATATCTTCAGCTTCGCTCTAGTCGGGCACTGTGATCTGAGTCTGGACTGGAATCGAAAAGCGAATACTATTTACTATGTACTATTTACTATTTACTATGTAGAGAGAGGAAAATTGTAACGAAGACTTGTGCTGCTCTGTTTCAGTGTTACACTCTGTAGAGAGGAGAAAGAAGAAGAGGAAGGTAGAAGAAAAAGAGGAGCTAGATTTCTGATGGAAAAGACAAGGAGGCCTTCCAGTGATGCACCAAATGATAGCTTGTCCGTCATTTCAACTTAACTAGTTTCAATGATTTGCTTTCTCTATCCGATTAGGCAAGTTCAGCTTTGTATCCGCATACAGAAGTTTGGAGTAAAACACCAGGAAAATTGGCACAGATAAGCAGGGAGTCTAAACTGTAGGACTTGTCGTGAGTTCAATCCCCAGTGTTCCCATTCCCAGATCCGCCTCGAGTTCCAGTCTTACCAGTGGAGGTTCTGTCATTACTTCTCCGAGGACGTTCGATTGGATTTGGTCATCTCCTTATCTCCTTATCTGGAGTCCATCACTTGTCGGCGACCGGTTACCCTTCCTTACTCCATTCTCCAAACACCTCAGTGTTAGTATTTTTGCATCTCTCTCTCTCTCTCTCTCTCTCTCTCTCTCTCTCTCTCTCTCTCTCTCTCTCTCT